AAAACATACTCTTTACAGTGTTTAGTTTTCTAATGATACATTGAACTATACTGTGCATAATATATGCACTGAGCTGAAAATAAAATTTGTTACAATAAACCAGAAACACTTACAAAAACATTTAACAAAGTTTATTTTGTAGAAATCCATTAATAGAACAAAAGGACTAAAAGTCTAAAACTTTCCAAGTTTAGACTTCAATGAGATGAATCCATGTGAAAATTACATTTTGTTCATATGTGTGACTTATCCACCAGGTGACAATTTATTAACAATATATGAACCCAGATACAGCTGTGAAATGTCAATTACAAATTTTAAGAGAACAACATGGCAACATGTGACTCATGTCTGGGTTGACTGGGTTATTTTAGTGCAGTTGACTTCAGGAAAGTCAGCAGCAATCTAGCCCCCCTTTACATCAACGGTGAGTGTGTAGAGAGGGTCCATACTTTCTGGTTTCTGGGCGTCCATATCACAGCCGACCCCACCTGGACTGAGAATACCACAGCGGTCATCAAAAAGGCTCAGCAGAGCCTACACTTCCTGAGAGTCCATAGGAAGCACAACCTGACCTCCAAGTTACTGCTGACCTTCAACAGGTCATCAGAAGAGAGCCTGCTAACATACTGGTGAACAGGGAGAGGCACCATGAGAAGAGTCAAAACAGCATTGGCTGTCCTCTCCCCTCCCTCACAGGCATTTACTCATCACGCTGCCTCAGTAGAGCTGAGCAGATCATCAAGGACGGCTCCCACCCAGGCTCTGAACTGTTTGACTTGTTGCCCTCAGGAAAGTGCTACAGGTGCACCAGAACAAGAACAGGTTCAAGAACTGCTTTTTCCCAAAAGCCATCACCTTACTGAACTCTCACATGCACTGACTCTTGATTRACAATCAGCTAGAAACTTACTACTGTGAAATACATACATACTGTYGGACACATGTCACTTTACTTTGTTAATGAATACCTGCAATACCATCATCCATATACCTCAARATACATAATYTGCAATATTTAAACAATGTGCAGAAATGTTTTACTTTCTTCTACTTTAGCTTCACATTTACCACTGACTCTCATTGTGCTTTTTATGTGCTTTTTAATTGTTTTTTATTGTTGTATACAGCGGGTAAAATAAGTATTGAACATGTCACCATTTTTCTCAGTAAATATATTACTAGAGGTGCTAATG